AGTCTGTGTATTGTAGTAGGGGATTCGAGCGCTTGAGTAGTCATGGATGTCCTGTGTGTTCTGACGGTTTATAATCCATGGAATCTCTGGCCAGAGTTGATAGTGGGGTGATTAGGGAAATGTGTTTCCCTAAGTCGCACACGAACGGATTTATAATACCTAGAACGTTCGCACGGTTATTGAACTTTATAAGAGGTCTCGGTGAACCAATGCCTCTAGTTCAATCGGGACATGTGCTACGAAGGGATCGTACTGTACGCTAACTATATCATAAGGTTCTTGCAGGCACTTCATTTGTATCTAGGGAATCATGATGCGTAGTTGCTAGACGCCAATCTTGATTCGTTGGGCACCGATTTGATCGGGATTAGGTAAAATGAGTTTTACCCTAATCGGGACTCTTGGGAGGAGTTCGTATAAGAACAATGTGTTGTTCGAATCACAAAGAGTTGTGAGCCCACGGCTAGCATACACCTGAACCATTGAGGGTCACACTTCTCGTGTAACATGGATCCTTGATAACAATGAGCATAGATTAATATGTTAATCTTTGCAAAGTTGGAGGTCAATATGATTGAGTCCAAGATTCGTGATTGTGGATTACGAGTCGGAATAAACGTGGAGAAAGAGAAATGCGGAATTTAGTGAACTTTCTAAATTGGGAAGTTTCCCGATTTAGCAAGTCCACTAAAGTGGAAGTTTCCAATTTTGGAAATTGGAAATTTCGAAGAGGCACTCGTATCGACGAGGACTTTGAGCTCGTCACAAATATAATTTTGTTATAATTTTGTGGACGATCGTTTATTAGAAACGAGGCCGACGAGGGAATGGGCTTAATGCATCAGTGGGTCAAGCCCAATGACTTAAGCCCGCTAGGGTTGAAAACCCTAGGTATAAATAGACCTCAAACAAGAGTTTGAGATCAGATTTTTACACAACAAACCCTAGCCGCTCAAGCCCTAGCCGTCCTCCCTCTCGGCCGTTGCTGCACCACCGCACCACCGCGTCCGCCGCCGGAATCCGCCGGTTTTTCCCTCTCCTTTCTCTATCGTATTCCCTTGTTATCTAACCCCTTTGTATCTAGTGCTACAGTAGGGGGAGATCCGTTTATTCGAGGTGAAACCTAATTGGAGAGGAGCTGCTGCCCCGACGGAATTGCCACACCACCGCACGCGCCGCTGCACCGCCCACGCGCCGCCGCCGTTGTCACGCACGCGCCGCCGTCGCTCCACCTACGGACCAGCTGCCATTCGGTGGTGTTCCTGCAGCCCCGAGGAGTGGTAATCGCAGCTTGTACGTGATTGGTTCTTGATTTCGATTCGTTGAAATCTCACGCTACAAGAGGTAAACAAATCGAAACTGTCGTGGATTAATTCGAACATGTTTGTATGAATTGCAATTTATGACTATGAGTAATATGCGATTATGTGTTTCGATTTCATTAAATGATGTATAAGCATGTTTCGTGATTTTCGATTATACGTATTTTCAATTAAATCGAAAATTTACCATATGTATGGCGGAAGCGTTAATGTACGTTGACTATGTGATTAGTTTATGCATGTAATCGAAACTAGTTCGATATAAATTTTTTAAATTCCGCTGCGTATACATGCACGATCCCCAACACGAACATTACACACATTATGTCTATTAATGCCGATGGTGAATTACTTCAACCAAACGACATGACGGGCAAAACTTATTTATAGCAAGTTGATCATCAAGGACGAATTCTTGTAGTTGTTCGTTCACATCTTACAAAGAGAAGTGAAATCCTCTACAGTGTTATTGACATTGGTGTTGTACTTTAAACACCTTCTCCACATAGCACTTAGCTCTTGATATTAACCAAATAGAATTGCAAAAACAGATAATCCAATGTCAAGATATAGCTGACTTATCGGATACTAGGGACTCTAGAGGTGGCTCATGCAAGATTAAGAGGTGGCTCCCGTTGGGTAGCACTTTGCCCTGCACAACACTTAGCTCCCTGTACCCTGACGGTTAGAATCAAGAATTCAAAATGCTCAAGATACCTTAAGAGTCAACAAACTCTATAGAATTTCTAAGTCGTGATAACTACATAATCGTTTTACGTCGAGTAAGATAATCGTCGAAATTATTCCAGGTCGAATCCACAAGATGATATAACAATAGATGCATACATCTGTAGTCATATTACATGACATTGCCGAAACAAGGTCTATACCTTTAACCCTGAATTAACAATAATCATGGCCTATGAGTGAGAGGGAACAACAAGAAGCGATATGAAGAAGTCGAATCACAAGGTTTCAAAGGAATAAGAAACCTCACATAATAGGCTACCCAAATCGAGAAGTATTAAATAAGATGAGGAATCTCAAAAGAGAATGGAACAAGGAAATCCAGGCATTCAAACGAGATCAAATACCTCACTCGTGATCAATAGTGGGAGGAAGTAAGATAGTCAAGCAATATTGTATACAAAGAATCAAATACCTGAAAAAGTAGGTAAGCGAGATGCCGAAGTATTGAAATGAGATAAAGAGTTTTGAAATGAGATATGGGAGTTCCATTGTGATCAATAATAACAATGGAACAATACATGTACAAGAATTGAATTTTGATGCCAAAGAACAAGAATCTCAAAAATAGGTAGAAGGATTGATCCGACATGAGAATAATGACAATGGTATAGCCAAATCAAACGAGAATAGGGACCTCAAAGGCACTTAAACAAAATCACGAGATTTTCAAGAAAATTGGAACACGGAAAAATGAAGTAGTATAGATTAAGTAAAGCAATATTCAAGAAACAAAAAGTCTCGACAAATAGATTCGCCGAAACTATAGAGTGTTCAAAGAGATACAAAACCTCACAATCAGGTAGATGATTAAACCAGGCAGATGATCAAAGCAGATGGTAACATAATGAAGTAAGAAGCCTCACAAGAAAATGACCAAAGTCATGACGTATTCAAAATGAGCGAACGGGAAAAGAAGTCTCGGCAAATAGATAAGCCAAAACCATAGAATATTTAAAAAGGAAAGAAGGTGGAGATGGTAGCACAATAAGGTAAGGGGCTTCAAAAGAAGGGATAATTCAAACCATGTGGAATTTGAAGGGGTAGGAAACCTCACAACATTGGTAACCAAGACTATGAGGTATTACAATGAGATAAGAAAATTTATTACGATCCACAAATGAAATTAGACAGTATAGGCCAGCGAAGCAAAATTGAATTCATTGGAATGATAAGGAGTGAACAAAAGAACTCCCGAATATTTGGTTCACCGTAAATCAATACTCAAAACGAGATAATATGGTTTCGATAAGGAAGTCAAGTTATGAAGAAAAAAGGAATGGGATATCTGCAAGAAAAGGTGTTACCAAATTCAAGTGAGACTAGAAACCTCACTCGTGATCAACATTGGAGAATTGGGAGAATTGGAAGTCAATTGAAGTAACCAAAAGAACCGATAATCTCAAACTGCGTCTCAGGTTGTTTATGATAGATATTTCTACGGGGTATTCCTCACTATCTATATCAGTAATAGACGCTAAAGAATTATATCAATGCCTTTAATACTCGATTACTACCTATCTTCTCATTTTCCCAAGATTAAATTCATAGCTCTACAATTCTCAAAGATCCCTTTTCATCATCGCTCGGGCATCCAACCCAAAGCTTTACCAACCGAAAGCTCTACCAACCCAAAGCTCTGATACCACCTGTAGCGCCCCGCCCCGAGTAGCAGGCACCTCGTGGCGGAACACAACTCAACATGCAGTACATTCAATGATCCCAAATATTCTCCTCAAAATTTCGACGATCAAAACATTAAACCCCCAATATCTATACCATCGTGTTTACAACAGGAGGTTTTATTACAAGTCGACTTCGACAGCACTCACTCTATTACAAAATTCTCGATCAAAGGATTCCTATACGGAACATAAATAGAGATACTTATCGACGAGACTAATCGGAGGCATACACGAGCTTTAACTCTTAGTATGAAAATTTAGGTATAAATCTTTCTTTTACCTGCGCATTAATATCAGAAAGGAGAAATGAATAAGTCCGAATGACTTAGTGAAAAACATATGATCCATGAGTATGATGAGAATCAACAGAACAGAACATATATCGAGAGACTTTACAAGAATTTCATTAACAGGAGTTGAACATGTACAAGAGTGTAACATGTACGGCTTGAGTTCAATATTTGGTAGGGTCTCCAACCTTGTAACTCCCAACAAATAAAATCATATCACATCCTTATCCCTCCACTCCGTCCCGAGTGGCCACTCGGTCGGAAACAAGCAAGAGGCACGACCAGAACGTGCCGATTCGGCTCAAGAACATTTAACTCCAAACGAACGTGAGTCCAAACCATCAGGAGGTACCATTCGGAGACCAGTCATCGTCAGCCCAATACTGCCCGATCGTCTTGCCGAAATGGTCCTAGGGCCCAGCTCCCCCAAGAGCGTCCTCAAGGGTGGGGACAATAGGTTCAAGAATCAATATCATTCCTTTTAGGAATATCAAGTCATTCATTTCAAGAATCAATTCAAGAATCAAGTCAATCATTCACAAGATAAGTCACGATCATGATAATTGAATATCAAGTCTCAGGATAATGAACATGTTCGAGAATTCAGTTCAAGTCAAGGAGTGAATGTTCATGAATATGAGAGTCAAGAAGAACCATAAGTTCAATATCGGATTCCAAGAACGAGTATATCAATATCTCAATGAATTCAATAAACATGAGATTCAAGTTCGAGCCAACGAAATATTTATTCTCGGAAAGCATTCAAGACAAGATTTTGAGAATAAATATAGTTCAATATCGATTCAAGGAAAATGTTCAGGCCAAGAATAAGTATAAGAATTAACCGTTAACATAGCAACCAAGAGAAATGACAAGTTGAAGATTTCAGGAAACAGGATCAAGGTTCCAAGTTCGAGCCAAGAAAACAATATGCTCGCAGAACATTAAGGATTATATTTCAAGAACAAATATAATCAAGGTATCGAAGGCTTCAATATATACAAAATATTCGGTTCAAACAAAGGAGATATTATGCGCAAGAAAGAAATTGGATAAGGAGTCATAGTTTCTCACCTGGAGTCCAACGCTAGTGTTATAGAAGTGCTATAGAAGCATCTTTAAGCTTAAACCTTGAGTGAGAGCTTTACTACGCTCAACACCTATGAAAATATAAGAACTAAATAAGATTCCAAACACTAATATAGCCATATTACCATCCACTATATGACATAGTCAATTTCTTAAACATATACTAAGAATTGCTTCTCGTGGCACTCTATTCAAATAATCACTGCGATCGTCGTACCTATCCGAATGACCTAAATAATATATATAGTTAAAGATAACATTTGTATCTACAAGTTCACTAAAGACACTAATCCCAAACTAACAACATAACCCGTCCATAACAACCCCGAAAGATAGACACATAAACCTGCCAGATTTTCGTATAATTTTGTTTACTGTCACAGCCCGTTTGAAAAATCATAACAAATTGTAAGGTTATCCAAATTGTCCAAATAATACATCAAATGAAACGTGGAAGTTTAATATACAAGTTTAATGAAGGCACATAGCCCAAATTATAATCCCAACATATCGAAAAAAGTCCCGCATGAAGATACTCAAAACTGCCCTGTTTCCGGCAGATTACTGTCATCGGATTCCGACCTCTAAAACACGTATATTGAATACTCTAATTCGGTACAATTGAACACTTACTTATAGTTTACGATGTCCTCTACGAGTTTTGTGAAGGAATTATTCCCAAATTCTTACTCCAAACCCTTCGATTTTGGCTCCGAAAACAGGTGCGGCAGCAGATTTCATTATAGGTCCAGCGAGCAGGCTGAACTTCTCGCCCGATTCCGGCAACCACCGCCGATTAATACTACCGAGCTCCAACACCAATGGAAAGCTAACATCTCGAGGTTTCTAACCGTGTGTCCTGATCGTCAATATTCAACCTTTAAGGCCTCCGAGCAATTTATTCTTCAAAGGACCAAAAGCTGAAATTCAGATTTTGGACAGCTTATCTTCTTTGTCGGATTCCAGCCACCACCGCCGGCGACTGCTGCTGGAGACCACCACCACTTTAAATTTGACTTCCCAATATTTCTAATCATATGAGCTGATCATTAATACCCTTTGCTAAAGCATCCACGCAGCCCCGATTATGCTGATAATATGAATTGGGTATTTCAGCCAAGAATCAATATAGAGACAGAGAGAGAGAAGAGAGGAAGATAGAGAGAAAGAGAGAGATGATAAGAGAGAGACGGTGAGGTAGAGAGACGGTGAGGGAGAGAGAAGAGTTGGGGAGAAAAGAAGAAACGTGGCTGCCAAAGGAGTATTGTGAATTGACGATGTACACGTCAATTCCTATCTCAAATATAAATTCTGAAAATTGGCTATAAGGCCAAATTGTTTTCTTAATTACTAAATAGATGCCACAACTTTAGATAATTACAATTCTACACTTCCCATCAAATTCGAGATATATTATAATCTCATATCGACACATATTAACTAATTAAATTCAATTATCCCCAGACTTAAACAACTTACATATTTACGGGGTGTTACACAAATAATGCTATAACTAGTTTTCGTTAAATTAAATAACAATCAATAACCCTATAAAAACGATGTAGAATTGACAACTCTTTTTATGTTGGTTTTTTTAACTTAAAATTCATGGTCTGTAAATGTGAAGTAGAAAAAAGGGGGAAAGCCAATCCCGCAAAATGTTTCCTCCGTCATCCGAGTCTCTCGCCTCCACCATCGAAGTAATTCTCTCCTCTACATCGTCCAACCATATCTCAAAATTCTCGCTCATTTCTTTGTATTGGAAGAATAAATGAAACCTTCATCCAATAATTTTTACAGTCAGCTCTCTCTCTCGCTCGACCAGTCGGCGCCATCTTGCTGATACTCTTTCCTTCTTGGCCTAATTGAATAATTGGTAATTTTCGTTCTCTATTTATCTGATTTTATGTTGATTTTTCTTTATTTAGTTTTTTTTTCTTTTCAATGAACCCTAATTCTACTAAATTGATTTGTTCTTTACTCTGTTTCTACAACAGAATATGGAGCCCTCTTCATTTTAATTTATTGGTGCAATTATGACTGTATAGAGATTGTTCTTGTACTCCTTTGCAGTAAATATAATCGGCTTGACGGTGAAAAAAGGTTGTGGCCTTCACCCAATTATTTTCTGCAACATACATATGATGTTTTTTTTTTCTTTTTCTCTTCGATTTTGGGTTCCATAATTTCTCTTTATCGGTGTACTTGTATTGTAACTACATTGGTATAATTCATAAAAAAAATTATGATCGATCGTCGATCTCCTTTGTAGTCTGTATTAACAATCTAAGTCATTACTACAACATGAATGGTCATTTTTAATCTCATAAGAAACTAGAATGGGAAACAAAAAGTGATTAAGGTATGTCCGATGTATGAATATCATCATTTGCATTGTGGATTCTAATGTAGAAGAAACACTTTTGTGCTTTCTTGCAGGACATTTTTTTAAATATTGGGATTCAATGTTAAATATCTATAACATAGGCTTTCACGTGTCTTTCTACTTTATAATTGTTTAGATGATATGCACTAATTCTTAATATATGATTCTGTTACAAAACTTGATATCTATTAAAATTGTTTGGTTTTCTATGTATTGTATTTTGAAGTTTGACTTTGTAGGCCATAGATGTATTGATGAAAATAGATCTTATTTTCAATGGGAGAAGATATACTAATTTTTTTTTTTACTTTGTGAAGAGTGATAACAGATAATTGTCAATTCACATTCTTAATAAAATTTCTTCAATTCTATTATTTTAAGTGCAAATATTTGTACATAGATACATCTGAATAGATGAGTATATGAAATCTTTTGATGAACACAATCTATAAATTTCGAAATCCCTTTTAGTTAAGTACATATATTATTCTAACATGACATCTTTAGCCAACATGTGATGAGAAATAGCTTAATGTTTGTATCTGAAGCTAGTTTTGGTCTTAGTTTTCAGGTTTGTTCTTTAATCTTAATTACTTATACATTCCTATAATTATTGATTATTTTGGTAGTGGTATGACTGAAAGCCCCCTAATATTTCCTGATATTTATTTTATATACTTTGCTGATGTAAATACTAATGACTTTTGCAGGGAAATTGTACGACCTTAACTATTTTTTTTACTCCAACTTTAAAAGAGGGGATGTAGTTAAATTTGAACTTGTTGCATATCAAGTCTTGAAAGCTAAGTGTATATCACTTTTTGATAATATTCTTGTTTTCCTTTAGCTTTCCATTTGTTGTTTAATGATACTGCATGTTTGGCTTCATTAGATTATTACTTTTTTTTGTCCTTGTAGATATGCTATAATACTTTTTTATTACTTGATTTCATTGATTGTTATCATGAAATGACGGTTATTGGAGAAATACAACAAAAGTCAGTGGTTCTATAAGTTAGGATGGTGCCGGGTTGAACACTTCACGAACGAATATATGGTGTTGGACTGACTGTGTAATTGTTAGTAACTTAGTTTAATCTGATGATTAAATTTAGGGATTAATATATGAGATTGAATATTTTGTCTTACAATTAGCTGAGTTCTATGTTTCTACTGTAACTTTCAAATATCACGTACCAAGTTTATTGGTTATTCTTAACAGGTAAATGAAGGAAACATGAGAGTCGATATCAGCGGAAGCTTGTTCTAGGGGTGTTTGAACGTGCAATTTTTATGGTTCCTGCTATTATTATGTCTTATTTCAAATAACTAGCAAAGATTATGGTAAGGATATTTACCATTTGGTGAATGGCATTAAATAACCAAAATGTAAATATTTTGTTTTTATTATCAATGCAAATTTTGGTTATGCTCCATATGATTTTATCTTTAGTATATTTATTGTTGTCCATATAATGTCATGTCGAAAATAATTATAACGTGAAGAAATAATAGCAAATTAAAATGCTGCAAAAGAAATTAAATAAAAGGTGTATAATTTGCACCAATTGAATGAAATTGCTATTACAAAATTAAATGTATAACATAAACACATTGCTATTACAAAATTAACTATAGCGTTTGGCTAAACGCCACAACAAGTGAATAATAGCGTCCGGTTATTAGCCATGAAAGTTAAACTACATCAATTGAAAAATGCTATGAAAACATATTATAGCGTTTAACCAACGCTAATAAAAATTCAATAATAGCACACAAAAAACGCTATCATAAAGTTCTCTACAATAGCGCTTCACCAACGCTATAAAAACTCCGGAGTCTATTATAGCTCCGGCAGACATAGCGTTTGTAAAAGCGCTATTAAAACCTACGATAGCATTTTTTGAGCGCTATAGATTACGCTTTATCTTGTAGTGTGAGCGAGTGTGTTTGTGCATGTTTGTTGATTTGTATTAATGTCCTAGGATTGTAGTTTGTGTTTTCTTGATCCTTTTTGCGAATGCACTTTTGCGTGAGTACTTTTGTGCATGCTTTTGTACTTTTACATATGTGCGTATATTTTGTAGCGAGTGTTTTGGTGCACGTTTCTTGATGCGCATTCGTGTCCTCGAACTGTAGCACGTATTTTCATGATCGCTTTTGGAATCCAATTTTGACCATGTTCGAACCCGAATTTGGAAATTTGACATTAGACAGGAATTGAAGCCAGCTAAAATAGCTTTCTAATGCCGCTGGAACCAGTTTATTTGGAGTCCGGATGAGAAAGTTATGCTCGACTTCGTGGACACTACCGAAGATGTTGAGGGATCATCTCTTCTAATTTGATTTTATTTTCCTAATTGCAACTCTGTTCTTACTCTTTGATCATTTTTGCTTCATGGACACCTAATTATCAAGTTTTACCTATAAGATACTAAATCCACCAATTAAAACAAAAAAATAAATTAAGCCATAAAAAAATCCACGTAAACGTAAAAACGTTGAGTGTAATTTCTACACTCTCCACTGTATCTTTTGTATTTAGTGTTTTTGCTATTGTGTGGTTATGCGTGTTAGAGTTGTAGTGTTGTATTTCGTGTTTTCAAGATTGTTGTTGCGAATGTACATTTGCGCATGTTTTTTTACATGTACGTTTGTGCATGTCCATTTGAGCGAGTGTGTTTGTGCATGTATGTTGATTTGTATTAATGTCCTAGGATTGCCGTTTGTGTTTTCGTGATCCTTTTTGCGAATGCACTTTTGCGTGAGTACTTTTGTGCATGCTTTTGTACTTTTACATATGTGCGTATATTTTGTAGCGAGTGTTTTGGTGCACGTTTCTTGATGCGCATTCGTGTCCTACAACTGTAGCACGTATTTTCATGATCGCTTTTGGAATCGAATTTTGACCATGTTCGAGTCCGAATTTGGAAATTTCACATTAGACAGGAATTGTAGCCAGCTAAAATAGCTTTCTAATGCCACCGGAACCAGTTGATTTGGAGCCCGGATAAGAAAGTTATGCTCGACTTCGTGGACACTACCAAAGATGTTGAGGGATCATCACTTCTAATTTGATTTTATTTTCCTAATTGCAACTCTTTTCTTACTCTTTGATCATTCTTGCTTCATGGACACCTAATTATCAATTTGTACCTATAAGATAGTAAATCCACCATTTAAAACAAAAATATAAATTAATCCATAAAAAAATCCACGTAAACGTAAACGTTGAGTGCTATTTCTACACTCCACTGTATCTTTTGTATTTAGTGTTTTTGCTATTGTTTGGTTATGCGTGTTAAAGTCCTAGTGTTGTATTTCTTGTTTTTAAGAACGTTGTTGCGAATGTACTTTTGTGCATATTTTTTTACATGTACGTTTGTGCATGTCCATTTGAGCGAGTGTGTTTGTGCATGTTTGTTGATTTGTATTAATGTCCTAGGATTGTAGTTTGTGTTTTCTTGATCCTTTTTGCGAATGCTCTTTTGCGTGGGTACTTTTGTGCATGCTTTTGTACTTTTACTTATGTGCGTATATTTTGTAGCGAGTGTTTTGGTGCACGTTTCTTGATGCGCATTCGTGTCCTCGAACTATAGCACGTATTTTCATGATCGCTTTTGGAATCCAATTTTGACCATGTTCGAGTCCGAATATGGAAATATGACATTAGACAGGAATTGTAGCCAGCTAAAATAGCTTTCTAATGCTGCCGGAACCAGTTGATTTGGAGTCCGGATGAGAATGTTATGCTCGACTTCGTGGAAACTACCGAAGATGTTGAGGGATCCTCTCTTCTAATTTGATTTTATTTTCCTAATTGCAACTCTTTTCTTACTCTTTGAGCATTTTTGCTTCATGGACACCTAATTTTAATTTGTACCTATAAGATACTAAATCCACCAATTAATATAGAAATAAGTTAATCCATAAAAAAATCCACGTAAAGGTAAACGTTGAGTGTTATTCTACACTCCACTGTATCTTTTTTATTTAGTGTTTTTGCTATTGTTTGGTTATGCG